GATTGTAGAAAAATATAAACTTTAGTATACACAGTTTTGTAACAAATGCTTGCCAATGACACTCTAAGTAAAGCAGCTTCTAAGGGGCTATTAAGCAGCTTCTAAAGAGACCTTACAAAGGGCAGGGAGGGCCGGCCTGGTGGCGCACTGCTACAGTGCGCCGCTTGGGAGCGAAGCGGCGCTCCCACTGAGGGTTCGGATCCCACATACAGACCGGCCACGCACTGGCTGAGCGAGGTGCGGGTGCAACACCGAGGGTTGTGATCCCGTTGCCGGTCCGGGTCCGGTACAGGTCCGACACTGAGGGTTGCGATCCATTGCCGGTCATGAAAAAAAGACAAAAAGGAAAAAAAAAAAAAAAAAACAAAGGGCAGGGGGCCCAAGTACACTAAACATTCCAAGAAGGGGGAAGCCCCCATGCGGTTCAGGAACTGGCTAGTTCCTTATCTCCCCAAGAAAGATATACGATTGAGAGAAGCGCTGTTTCTTATCAGGGGGTACCAGCCTAAGCCCACCTGTAAATCTAAAGGTGCCACAGATCTATCGGGGTACCAGCCTGCTAAAGTCTGCCCATAAATCCAAGGGAGCCACAGATAACCAACAACTCATCCTGTCATAAAGATCTGTTCAGGAAAAAATGTATAAAAGGTGCTTGTATTGTAAACGGGGCACCGCTTTTATCCTAGAGACGAAGCGACCCCAGCATGCTGGAATGATTAAACCTCATGTTTATTGCAATGGCCTCTAGCTCGTGGTCTTTGTGAGGTGAGCCATCCCGACAGGTGGGACTTGTGCATGGTGCACAGGTCTTACATTTTGGGGGGCTCGTCCGGGATTGGGCTCACTCTCTCTGGGACCAGAGACTAGAGAACGGAGGATCGCTCGAGCAAGGTACCGCGGTTGTCTGTCTGACTGTGTCTGTTTTTTTTGTTGTCTGCTGTAAGCTGTCTGTTATAATATGGTTTCGGTGACTCCAGGATGGAGTCATCAGTCTGGTTTCAGTGGCTCCGGGACGGAATCACCGGTCTGATTTTAGATTTTCTGAGGCTCCGAGGCGGAGCCATCTGTAGTGGCCAAGCGGCGGGTAGACGTACCAGCACATCGCAGCCACAGGAATACTGGAGGACGCTCCAGATTCCTCTGTGGGAGACGAACAAGTTCGGCTCCATGGGAGATCTCTAGGAAGGAGACCCCTCCGGAGTTCTCTGATAATCTGGTTGCGGTGCCCATGGCTAGGGCGCGTCAGTGTTTTGTTCTTTGTTTGTCTGGTTGCATGTGTGTGGGGACTGACGATTTTCTGGGGCGACATGGGGCAGACTATCTCAACCCCTTTAAGTCTGACTCTAAAATACTGGACTGATGTAAAGAACAGAGCTAATAATTTGTCTGTGCAGGTTAGAAGGAATAAATGGACCACATTGTGTTCTTCGGAGTGGCCAGCTTTCCAACTCGGCTGGCCTGCTGAAGGTTCCTTCTCTCAGCCATTGATTACAGCAGTGAAAAGGAAAATTTTCAGTTCTGAAAGTCACCCAGACCAGATACCTTATATTGTTGTCTGGGAAGATTTAGTCACAGATCCTCCTCCGTGGGTCCATCCCTTTGTTCCCTTAACAGGTCCAACGGCTGTATTTGCTCTCTGAGAAGTAAAAGAGAAACCGGAGGTCCTGCCGTCCACCGACTTGGACTGGCTTCTATCTGATCCTCCTCTCCCTCCCTATCCTCCTACTCTCCAATCACAGGCAGCCAGCCCATCAGCCCCGCCAGAGGACCCACCAGAAAACGAATCCGAGGGAGGGCCTGCTCAAGGGACATGCAGTAAATGAGTGGCCTCTCCAGAGGCAATCCATATCTTCCCCCTGCGGGCTTATGGCCCTCCTAATGAAGAGGGCAACCAGCCCTTAAAATACTGGCCTTTCTCCTCTTCCGATCTTTACAACTGGAAAACTCAGAATCCCCCTTTCTCTGAAAACCCCCAAGGTCTCACTAACCTTGTAGAATCCCTTCTCTTTACTCATCAGCCCACCTGGGATGACTGTCAGCAACTCCTCCAGGTCCTGTTCACCACTGAGGAGAAACAACGGATTGTCCTGGAGGCTCGAAAAAACGTTCCAGGAGCCGGTGGGCGGCCCACCCTCCTCCCTGATGTTATAGATGCAGGGTTCCTGTTGACCAGACCAAACTGGGATTTCAACTTGGCAGAAGGTAGGGAGCACCTGAAGATCTATCACCAGGCTCTAATGGCAGGTCTCCAGGGGGCAGCAAAACGCCCCACCAATTTGACTAAGGTAAGAGAGCCCAGTGAGTCTCCACCAGCATTTCTGGAGAGACTCATGGAGGCATTCCATCAGTTTACCCCATATGATCCTGGTAGTGAAGAGCATAAGGCTACAGTGATGGTTGCTTTTATTGACCAGTCTAGTAAAGACATCAGAAAGAAACTGCAGAAGCTTGAAGGGTTGCAAGATAAGTCATTAAGGGAATTAGTGCAGGGTGGCTGAAAAAGTTTATCATAATAGAGAGTCAGAAGAAGAAAAAATAAATAAAAAAAGAAAAGCGCCAAAAAAGAAATTTTCACAAAATTCTGGCCACTGTAGTTAGGGAAGCTAGGGAGCCTAATAAAACAGCACCAGGCATCAAAAAGGGACCCTGGCAAAGGATCAATGTGTGTACTGTAAGGAGAGAGGACACTGGGTTCGAAACTGCCATAGGAAAAAGAAAGAGCCTCAGGGCCCCAAAGTCTTGGCCCTGCAGGAGGTCAATGACTAGAGGGGACGGGATTCGGATCCCCTCCCCGAACCCAGGGTAACTCTCAAAGTGGAGGGGAAGCCTACTCA